AGATTAGCCGTTACAAATATAAAAAGAGGTGGTATAATTGGCCGGTTTTGATTCGCCATACAAAGCTGCGTGGCAGGTTCAAAACTGGGGTTCAAAAACAGGAAAGTGTGCTAGTATTTTTTGTGAAATTCTTGCAGAGATACTTTGGTGGGAATTAAAAACTGAAAATTAATATTTCGTAGAGGTGAGTAATGCTGATATCACGGCAGTGTTATATATTATCGGTGAACTGCTATGTACAACAAATATCGTTTAGTTTCCAGCGATTTTATATTCAACTGAAAACATGGCGTTTTTACCAACATAACAGTACTTCGATCATTGTCAGACTTGGCTGTGGCTCATATCCCCATGTCCAGCCGTAGTTTACTTACTAATGGAGGCTTGTCGGCATGGAGCTATGGCACTATGCGGGGCAGAAGGGTGGCTATCCGTGGTTTGGTGTCGTTTGGGGTCCGGTTTATATTCCGACACTGCCGTGTATACTGACAGACCTATGACCTATCGGGACCCAAAACAACTCGAAACCACGGCTAAAGGGTGTTTTTTTTTTTATCAGAGTCCTCTTTGAATTGCAGTGTTTTGCTCTCTGTTTATAGTGAAAATGGAAAATGTTTGTTGACAAATCACAACGAAAATACGTTTTTAGCATAGACTCTTTGCTGCAGTGCAGTTTTAGCAGCTCCGATTGGGATATGATGGGCTACTATACGGCTAAAGAGCTGCAGGTCGGTGCATAGAGTAAATGCACGATTTGATATCAATTCATATTACTAGAGGAGGGTGATAAACATTCAAGATCATCACAACTTAATTAAATTAAAATAATTAAAGGTGTCGACTAAACCCGAACAACGGTAAAACTCGGCTAGTGGTTGAAACCCACCAGGTTATTTGTTAATGGGAAGGTAAATGGGTGTTAACAGTATTGTACAAGGAGTCTTATCAAGGTTATCAAGGGTTGTTGATTTCAGTGTCACTGTGACCACAGGGGCTTGACGATCTACTCGTCTCAATGCATGGACGTCTATGGGACCGAGCGACGTCCCGGTACAGGTCCTTTCCCTTGCTCAAAATATTAGAAATTATAGAATTAAAGCAGTTTAATAATGTAAAGCAAGCATATGTTATTAAATTTAATCATGCTCCGAAACCACGAAAATCACTAATACTTGTTTCTGGCTGTTCTGCTTGCACTATATTATAAGACAAGGGAGGTAACACAATGTGCGCAAATTTTTCTAGCTGCCAAAAATCATACCTCAAAATACAAAATACCTTGTCCAAACTAGTTACGAGTGCTTATAAGACACTGGACTATCGCAAAATGTTGTCAGATTACATATAAATCATATATTTTTCCAGATTTTACGCATTTATTATGAAATTTGACAATTTCTATTCTCTGTGATACCACCTTCAGGTTGTGTCAATCTGTGCATGCGTGCACGCCCTCAAACGCTAGGACTGCATTTCCTTTCTTTGCTGCCAGAGTTTGAAATTCTCAACTATGCATAATCATTTATACACAATTCTATAATGTCTTTACCTGATTTTCTCTATTTAGTTGAAATATCAAACAGGATGCTTCAGATTTATCACGAATGATTATGCATAGTTTCTATTATTTTGAGCAAAGGCAAGGTCCTGTACCGGGACATAGTTGCTCGGTCCCATAAACGTCCATGCATTGAGACGAATAGATCGATGTGACACAACAGCAGTCATTTTCTAAAAAAAAAGTAGATATAGCATCTGAAAATAAAATGCTGCTACATATAAACACACAAAACAGACATGAAAGAAGTTAAAAATTATTGACAATTGACCACTTAACACTTCAGCGATTATGTCTGATCGAGTTTAACTATTTTCGTAATTAAAGGCCCAATTCATTTCCCCCTCCCCCGTAAGTGCTAATCAATGTTGTTAATTATACTGTAGAACAGGATATTATTTGCGCAGTTTAATTTTCTCTCTCTGTGCTAAAATTAAAATGTGTGAAAATTTCATTTAGGGGTTATTTATTTTAATTTTGCTGCCGTGGGTGCTGATATACACACCACACAACACTTGCATTCAAGTCATTCAAGCAGTGAAAAACAAAGTATTCATTTAATGTTTTTATTTCATTGTTAAAAAAAAATTACAGTCAATAAATATTTTTTTCCACAAATAGTAGTTAAAAACATGAAAAATATTTGTCTGAAATCTGACAACTCGGCGTAACAGTGCCATAAAATTTATAAAAACTAGTTCAGACATGACATTTTTCTTCTGAATGTAAAATTTTTATACTAGTACATGTACCACAAGACTATTGAATGAAAATGTTATGTATTCATCGGAGACATTTTAGAACAGCAGCAATTTTTACAAAAAAATCTTCACATTGATGTCCTCTGAATACATAAAATATTGCCAGGCCTTTTTGTTCTTTGGCTAACCCCAGCTTCTGGAGTGTCGATGTCACATACGGAATGTAAAAAAATAATGAACGTGTTACAAAGTGATGTGGCATTGATCATTTTTATTGAATTATGTTTATTTCAACAATAGCGCTCGTCTGAAATGCAGTTTTGCCATATCATATCCATTTGCCCATGCTATGGGGATGACCACAATGCTTGTACGCTTAGGGAGCTGTCATGCTCCTGTCGGTCAACAATTTATTTAAAAAATATTCACTGCACGTTTCGTTCTACCAGCTACGGGTACATGTATTGCCATGTAACATTCTGATTGGTTGAAGGCATTTTTGATTCATTGGGTCAAAGGACACATGATGAACACTTAGAGCTTCACAACATCATGGCTGGTGGATCTGTGTTTTTACTTGTTTTACATGGCTTTTTGCAGATTGTTTTATTTTTGGTGCCAGCTATATACTAGTAATAATGATCTATAATTTTCCATATTGCAGTTGCAGTCATGCCAGAGCCTGAAGCCGGAAAGGACCTTCCAGTGAGAGTGGCACTTCGATGTCGACCTTTGATTACAAAAGAACTAACTGAAGGATGTCAGAAATGTCTGATATTTGTGCCAAATGAACCACAAGTGATCATTGGCAATAACAAGTCCTTTACGTATGACTATGTTTTTGATCCGGATTCTAAGCAGTCTGCAGTTTATGAGAAAGCAGTCTCTCCATTAGTTGAAGGCATCTTCCAAGGCAGGTCTCAATTATGTGTATATTGGGTTTCAAATGTGGTGGTGGTGTAAATTTCAGCCCTTGCCTTTGACCTTTGACCACCGTTTTCTCTCCAGGATACAAACAGCTATGGTTGATTACTGCACATTTACTATTTTCTATGGTTTCTGCATCAATTTTCTTTTTTTTCATTGAGGGCTCTTTATTCATAACGCTTTCTCAAGACAACTTAAATTCTGCATTCTGAGTACCTGTTGTAAGTTTGTATTGATTTGGGGTAACACACAAGACTGCCATGAATGTTTTCATTCTAAATATTTTTTTCTATTGTAATAACAAAGCTAAAAGTAATATAGTAGTGTATAGCAGTTCATGAGTCATCGAAGTTAGTAAAAAATGTTGAAATGTGCATATTCTTTATAACAACCCTATATATATTAATGTGTTTGGAACAAGATCACCTTGTTTGTTTATAGAATTCAGTCTTTACGGTTTCATCTTTTGTGGCTACTATATGGATTTGTAGGCTAGGAAACCATCCTTTACTCGAAAGATAGCATGCACGTTAGGTCTTGCATAAATAGTTGAACAAGCTGGTCGAAATGGAAAGCTGTATGCAGAATTTCTTCAAAACATTATTTTTGTCATTACTACTTTTGGATCCTTGTGGCTCTGTTAGGGTTTATATTCCTATTGATGAACATGCATGTTATTTAATGTGACGATTATCCATTGTTGCAGGTTACAATGCCACTGTATTGGCATATGGTCAGACTGGTTCTGGTAAGACGCACACCATGGGTAGCGGCTACTGTGAGGCACAGGCCGAAGACGAGCAGTTAGTTGGTGTGATACCAAGAACTGTGAAGACTCTCTTCAATAAAATACAAGAGTGTGAGGAATCTGACTTTACTGTGAAAGTTTCTTACCTTGAGGTAAGATGCCTCATTTGCATAATCAAAAATGAAATTAATTTTCATTGTCAAATAAATAACATTCTGCATGTGAAGATTTGGATTAGTTGATTAGTTTCAGGTCATTTATGCTGAACTTTTTTGCTTGGTTATGATTATATTCATTAAATTTCAGGTGTACAACGAAGATATTAATGATTTATTGAGTCAATCAGCAAAAAAGGAAAGTTTACCTATACGAGAGGATAACACTGGTGGTATCAGGGTGAGTAAAATCGACGAGGCAGTCAAATAAAAAAGCCTTGGTACGCTGCTTTTCTTTTCAGTCTGTGGTATTTGCTGATGACTGTAAAGAAGATAAATGATTTTTTATGAATTGCTAAGAATTTAAATTACAAATACTAATCCCTCTCTTGTCTCTCCTCAAACCTTTCATAGGTTCAGGGTCTTGAGGAAGTTTTGGTTGCAGGTTTTAAAGACACTATGTCATGCTTAGAGAAAGGTTCTGTTGGAAGAACCACCGGGTCAACTGCAATGAACGCCACATCCAGTCGATCACATGCCATATTTACGATGCATATTGAACAAAGAAAAAAAGAAAATAGGTGAGAGCCAAGATTTAGATTGCATGTGTCACATTGAACTTTTATTCATATTGATGATAATGCAATCTGCAGATTGTATTGTTTCAGGACTTTTATGCTCATTTTTGCTATGCAAAGATATTGCATTGTGAGATTGTTATCCATCCAAACATTTGTATCTAGGTTCTCAATGGACAAGGTTGTAAAAGTCACGCTATGTTTGAGTCAGTCGTTACTTTTGGTAGGAAATGTTAATCTGCAATACATTTGTTGCCCCCCCCCCCCAGTATTTTGTACCTTTTCGGCATACACAGTATTCTTAATTTACTGATGTGTTTTTATGTGTAGCCTTATTACAGTATAGTTAAGCATAACTTAACATTCAGTTGGCTTTAACCTTTTCACCATCAGACATTCTCACCCAAATTTTTCTGTACTTTATTTTTATAATCTTCAATATTTCTGAAAATGAACCCTGATTTTGGAGCCAACAGAAAAAATTTGAATATATTTTCATTTTTTTTTTCAAAAATGGGACTATTCTGTGAATTTGTAATGAAATGAGGGAACTGGTGGTGAAAAGGTTAAGTTGGCTTAATGCTAGCTTAGCGTGCTTTTAAAACTGACACATATCTGAATTGTGTAGAGTAATCTGTAAACATATCGCATAATAGTAACATAGGTAAGGTAAATACTACCAAGGACAAGTTGAAAATATTGATGACAATCATACTCTTAAAGTGGGGGAGTCGTCACTTACGCATGCGTCAGGTGGCCATAGCGTGTCATTGTTTAAAACCAGATGTCTACCCATGAGCCTTTGCGTTCCTAGCCTGTGTTATCATCGCTTGGGACTCAATTCTCGCGTGTACACAGGTGACAACCCTCTCGCTTTAAATACATACATACATAATGCTTTTGTGAAAAAGGATTAGCCAGCTTGGTATTTATGTTACTGTACTATATTTGGTTAACTTTATTTTTCAGTGAAGACTTATTATCTGCCAAGTTTCACTTGGTGGATCTGGCAGGATCAGAGAGAGCCAAAAGAACACATGCTGAAGGAGAGAGATTTAAAGAAGGTGGGTAGATAAACCAATTTCTTGTAATAAAATAAGCAATAAATACTCTACTAGACATGCAATTTGCATTTAGAGTTTGATCTTGTTTTTTACTAAATTAGCATTACTGAGAGGAAAATACTAGCAAGTTGGCAAGTACTGAAGCCATATGGCTGATGATCGAAAATGTAAAGTTGACATGACTGTTGATCAATAAGTCAAGAAAACTATGGCTCAGACGACAGCAATACACATCAAACTTCTTGAAAATGGCTTGCCTGATTTTGATATTATATTTATAGGTTCCCTGGGTAGGCCTTTAATCAGACTTCCTGACGTCAAATGTTTACAACCTGTAGGAAATTTTTGATATTTACTATGCAAGTAACAGCAGTGTTCTCCCCAGAGGGTTTTAGCATATTGGCCCGATACTCTATAATTTTCGCCGATATGCCATTGGTCAGGCCAAACTCTGTCCGATATCTTATTGTTTTCTAGTGAAAGGGCACAATTAACAGACTCCACACCTTAATGATTGACAGCGGATTAGGTAGTCTGTATCAAGAAAACAATTACCCCCGCAACAATCAAAAGGTGTTAATACATCCATGGTTCAACCTAGTACTGACGACGCCACAAGCAGAGAAACGAAAGGCTGAATCCCTCGCGTCTAGCAGTTTAGATTCAGAGTTGCTATACTTAATCCATGGATTAGGCAAACACAACGTGACAGAAAGCCCTTCCGATGTGATCCACTAGTAATTTGTAAACAATGTATTTGCACAAGACTCCCAGTTTCTTCTTTTCGAGTAGACAGTAATGTTTCACGTTCGTTTTTGTGTGGTTTTGATCTTTCTCAAATAAAACGAATCAGTGGATTTCTATTTTACTCAATGTTTATTCTCGTTTGATATTTTTAAACAAAATATGCACTCATTAAATAATTAATGAATATGCAAGTTTTTTGTTTTTATCGAACAAGGATAAGGAAGACAAAATGGCAGTAATTTCACTATTTTGATGTTTTGAGCATATTCACTGTGTTTTAATTCCACGAATTTGTCAAGGAAAGAATCTGTTTTATTGTTACTTTACATGTTCTCGTAGATTTTATTTAGCAGATTTTACTTGTCAGCAAAAATAGCAAAAAAAAAACCCAGTGAATAATTAAAGTATTAACAGTATTCAAGCACGCAATAATTTGGACGTATGCGCACATAATGGTCTCGATTAAATAAACAAACTATCGAAAAAGCTATTGATTCAATGAATTTGTTTTTAAACATGAATTTATAATTTTATTTTGTTAATTTATAATTACGATGATGATAACCGTTTGTCTCAACTGTTATGTTCTCACAATCTTATTTGTATCTAGTTTTTTTTCTGTACTGTAGATTAGCTTGCTGTCAACGTATGTTTTTTAAACATCTTGTCATTCATATCTATTGTCTTTAGGTATAAATATCAACAAAGGCTTGTTGGCACTGGGAAATGTAATAAGTGCCCTCGGAGATGAGAACAATAGAAAAGGACATGTTCCGTATCGGGATGCTAAGCTTACCCGACTATTGCAAGGTTGGCGATTCATATTTCATGGCGTTATTGTTATTTCACTCTGCTAAAAATATGCTACTTTACGTATATCATTGTTATCTCCTCTATATTTGCATATGTATGTGACCAAGTGCACATGTGCTTTATATTATAAGGTTATTATGAGAAGTATGAAGTACCGTACTTATCCGGGTAAGAGCCCATGCCTGGACAAACGCCCACCCCCCACTTTCGACACAATAAAGAAGTTGAGGTCATATCCGGGCACACGCTCAGGGGGGTCTTTTTCTACACAAAATTAAAAAACTGTGGTTGTATTAACAGTTGACTTTCTTGAAGTCTGTCGTGATACTTATAAAAATTGTTAATTGCGTAAAACAAGGGGTGAACGCAAAATAGCTGTGACAGCGCTCTGCCTTCAGTGCAGTGCGTTCACTGCTGATTTTTTGTCAGAATCATAACAGTCAGCAAGTCTATAAAAATAAATATTAAAGCAGAAACGGTAGTTCTCTTTTTGAAATATGTTGTGGCCCAAAAAAGGGCCGGCCGTTTGGTTTGTGCTTCCTTAGAAACGATTCAAGCAAATCGTATAAGGAGAGCCACTGAGCAAGTGTCGCACTCGTTCGGCTTTAGCGTCGTCGACAATGAAAACAATGTTGCAATATTGTAGCAACCCGTACCTGGGAGAATGGTTGAAATCACGTTATTTTGGCTTTATAAATATTTTGTAGCAGCTTGCGAATCT